TCAGTTTTCTACGGGTCGTTGGCGCAGTAACCACGAGTAATAAAACATCATTGCTCTGATCGTTGACAATCTTCATTCTTTGATGAATTAACGACAGGAACTGCGCCATTGACCAAGTAAATTATCATCACTGCAATGAAAGTTGTAGATGGGCTTAGAGGAAGTTTGCTTGTCAAATGACATTCTTTTGAGCAAACAGCTCATCTTCCGAATATACTTCTGATTATGTAGGACGGAGAAAATGATACTGATTCTGAATGCACCCAGGCCCAGGAGAAATCCCGTAGGGGCCATCCCCGATCAGAACTGCGCCCTTCGTTAAATGAGTTGTCATCACAGCTATAGCAATTTGAGAATTGCTTAGAGGTTGACATCCGCGTAGACGTGTTCTTCTTCAAAACCTCAAGGCACAAAGAACACTTTTAGATATTCGAGTAATGACTTAGGACTAATCCCGTAAGCGATTAAGCTCCAAATTGAGTGTAAGTGGGGTTGGCGACATGAAAATGGTCAAAAGCAGCTCATGTCTCCCCTGACTTCACACAGGCTTCGGAAAAAAGGTTTTCGCAATGAGAATATTCGCCGAAGGAGCACGATCAGATATAGCTGCAACGTAAAACTCATGTTTTTATTATAGCAGCTTTAGATCATCGATCAACGTTAAGATTTGCTTGAGATCTGTAAATATCTTTAATCTACCTCAATAGAAAACTCTTTTCGAATCCAATTTTTCACGCCCTAACCGCTGCTCTCATGACAAATTATTATGTTGATGGAAAAGTAAAATCCTATGAAAAAAGTGTTAAGATCATGTAGATAAAGCAACATTATATGGGCTTCCTAAAGGGTTTCTAGTGTAGTAGGCACAAATCGACTGAACGATTCTAAGGCATAGGTTGTCAAAAGGGTGTTGAGAACAACGATTTTACGCTGGGAAAGGTCGGTATGGTGGGAGCAGAGACCAAACAGGAATTTCGCTATTCTCTTTATCATCGCAGTACCAACAGAAAATTTCTTCCGTGGACCGTAAAAATTCGCAGAAAAATGTAATCTCCGCGATCAGTCTGATGTCATTAGGACTCTGGTCGCCTATTGAAGCAAGAAGCAATTTTCAAATCAGATTAGGAACAACCAAGTATGCGCCCGGCTCCTTGTGTGATTGATTGGAAACGAGTTTATTATTTAAATATCACTTTCAAGTCATTTCAGAGAGCAAGAAATCAAAAATCAACGTCATTATCTATCAGAATCCAAAGACTCCCCTATTGACATTTAAAACAGGTCTTGAATGAAGATTGGATACCTGAAGATAACGAATAAAGATCTCATCTTTAAACTATCTGTCCCAGACACGATGCCTTCCACTTCAGTTCAGAAAATGAGGGGATTCACTATCTCGGGTCCAAAGATTTTTTTCAATAGAATCAGTTGTTGGAGTTGTCCACTTCCTATTCCCGTGTTTTCAAGTTTCAAGAAATCAGGTCTAATCTTCGCACGATTTTTTCGAAAATTATCTTATGAATGGATCACGGCCAAACTATACTTCATAAACAGCTCGTGCCAGTTTTTATTTACTATACGTGATAATCAGAATGCCTGATGTATTCTAGTTTGATCTGTTACCCCTGCATTTCACTAAAAAGTAGTGGTTCGATGTCATCACCTGATTGGTGAACTGTGTCCTCAATCGGAGGTCGTAATGAGCACCGTCACTCACAAGTATCGGCGGAGCAAAATCAGGTGCAAGCAGGACGTTTTCAGTTGTGACTGTGGCGTGGATGATTGCCATGTTGATGATGATGCCATGCCACCCACGACATACCCAGTTACACTTGCCTACGTCTATTAGCCGAGGTTTTTTAGTCATGAACTCAATGATTGAAAAAAACACTGGGAAAATCAGTTATCGGTTAATGCCAGATGACTCTCGCGCAGGAGAATTTGAGGTTGGTGCATAATTATTGCGCATTTTTTTAGCAATTCTTACTTAAAAAAACGGTAGGAATATTTAACGAAGAAATGCTCAAATAATGACAAGGGAACGTATTCACCATCTACGTCAAGCACTGTTTCCCATTCGCTAGTCAGTCGGACTCCATAGGGGAAGAAGTTTCGATTCTTGGAGGCGATCCACGCCTTGACGTCGGCCATCAAGTCATACATTTCGTCGAGAGTTCTGTTCGCTAACCAATTTTTCCACGGTCGATTGACCTGATAATCCATAGGAGCTTCTGTTGGTGAAAAGGGCGACTGTAGAAGTAGATTCCATTCTTAATCCGGCTTTGACTGACTATTCCATCTCCGAAAATGACCAAAAAGCTTTTATCGGAGAACCATATACATAAGATGTAGCTTGATGTCTCAATGAGGGTACCTGTCCTGGCGTGCACCCTTTTCCAATGTTACACTATTTAACTCACAACCATGGTCTTTGAATCACTGACCGAAGAAGCTTTCAGTTGTTGCCAAGACATCACATCGACAATTCGCTCATTATTCATAAAAAAAACTAGTTAGGGGGACTCAAATCAAACCATTGCATTTTTCACACTTATGTTATCTGGAGCTAACGAATACGACCTTATCTCGAACGGATGACGATCCAGTTGACTTTAAAAAAATGCAGACTTTTGCTATTGCTGGGAAAAATGGCGTGATGCGGCCATTTCACGCGCACTTCGATACTTGACCAGATAAGGGGTGCTGCAGTTCTCGCTTAACAATTTCGAGGCGAGGGCACACAACAGAAAAAAACGATCTTCATCTTCGATTTATATTTATACTGTTGTCGTAGAAGAAAATATGCTCATGATAAATGACGATCTAACTATGTAAATACAAATAATTAGCCACGATCGAATGTCCATTTGTAAGCGCTCATCAAACGTCAAAAGAACAGAGATGATAGAATACCAATTGATGATACCAATCGAATCGGTCAATCGCTACTGGACGATGTCGATTTGCAGGGAATAAGCGGGCATTCATAGTTTCTCTCCATTCATTAATAGACCATTCAAGTTGATAAGCGATACAGGAAAGGTGCGAAATTTCGCGCATGTCGATCATTCAATACTGATGGAACTCTGAGAAGGATTGACTAGTCACGGGCTGCGGTACTATGTGGTACTATCCTTCAAAGTTTTAATGAATAAGAGGCACTCGACAAAATTTAGAATTTTAGGTCGCGCATGCAAAATCGTGGGAAAGTAAGACCCTTCCGAAATGTTCCGGACATACATACGTTGTCCTGCCTAGAATAAAAGGGGCCGGAGGTGTTTCTACACTGGTCCCCGCCTGCTGATTCAATTTTCATACCTAAGGTCAGCGATTAAGCGAATGGTTGGCTACGAGTTTCCATAGGTAAATAGTTTCCATAGGTATCTGTCTCAATCAAAAAAATGCAGGTACAGCTTGTGCTTCAGTGCCTTGTGTTATGGAACAATTGTTCACCGTTATTGAGAACATATTTCTCAAAGATCAAAGGAGGTCATCTCAAGTAAAGTTGGAAGATGGTGTAGTGGCAATGGTCGCACTATCACGCAGGCATGGTCACGGGTTCGAATCCGAGATCGCTAACAGCCTGGGCTAGCCTAGCTTTTCACCAGTCCGAAATCTGTTGATGGCTGAAATGACCCGCCTGAGTGGGTAGAAGCAGTGACTTCTACATCGGTTGGCCACCGCAAGTCATTGTATATGCCTCATACGCATTCACATATGCCACATACGGGGGTAACGGAACTTTTCCCCGATTGCGGCATTCTCCCTTCGGCATGCGGCAAATGTCACTGCAGTTACCATACTCACCCCGCCTCCCGCCAATCGATAGGACGCGATATTTTTCCTTGACTGGCTTGCTTTTTCATTGGATTTTATCGTTTTTTCTTTTGTTTCTTTTTCGTTTTCATGTTTATTAGACTTGATTAATTAAAATGACTCCTCCTATATAAACGACGATTAGGATCGCATTGGAGCTGAAGAGAGCGGCCGGCCAATTCAAATGTTTAAAAGACTCCCCACCTCACAAATTGCGCGCTCCAATCTTCCATCACAATCCTGCGATAGGCGTCGGGTGCGGCGTGTGCGACGCCGTGTTAGGGGAGAAGTTCCCGGACCCCCACATACGGAGAGGGCGGATCCCCCAAGCGAGATTGGTTGAAGCCAAAAAGACCCTTAAATTCTTCTCAAGCAGTGGTTCTAAATCTATAGGAACGGGACTCCTTAACTTACCTCAGTTCTAATACATACAGCCGAGGAGTTACCCAAACATACGTATAAGAGAAGGTTCGTAACCCAAAATCGTGAATCTTCATCAACTAAGGCATCGACGTGTGATGCTCTTTTGCTCGAAGTGATTCCGATTTTTAGTTCTTTCAAAAGTTTGAATGAAGTTTCATGCAGTTACCAATAGATGAAGCGAATCAAACGGCTCCCCATCCTTATCTACGAGTTCTCAAAAAGGGCTGATCAGAATAACGTTTTATAATGAAATTCTTTAGGATTTGAAGAACGTGGTTCAATTTGACGCTGAAGACCATATCACAAGGTTGGCGAGTGATGGGCAAAACTTCGGCCTTGGTGGGACTGGAACCCGTATTTGGGCTGACGAACATGCTTTTAGAAACGACGTCTTATTCCTGTGGTTGAAACTCACTTGTCGATAAAGGAAGCGGTTCATGTTACCTAGAATTTACATATTTCGACTTCCTCATCTACTCGCCTTTTTTGCCCATACTCAGCGATTGCTCAGCCGCTTCTGCAATGTGCTTTCCCTACATGTATTGTTGTTATATTTATTGATTTTTTGATGACCATCTTTTCCTTTTTCGCCATTCAATTCTAATTGAAATGACTGCTGTTTGCTGTACTTCTCCGCCTGTCTACCTGAAGCGCGTCCTTTGGGAGCAGAGTAAGTAAATGAATAAATAAACAGATTTATAAAAAAAAAAACATCAGTGAGCAGCGTCAAGAGGATGGAAATGAAATGCGGAAGAATAATTCTATAAAGGCTCAAATCGGAATTCACAACAGCCTTTCGGCAAAAGAAGTGTCTCATAAGTCTGTTCGATCGACCCATGTTGGTGTACGATTCGATAGTGTTGTAACAATCGGCACAGTGCAACCTGCAGATCTTGCTCGGCAAAACGACGTCCTGAAAGCGCAAGACTGAATGTCATCGAAGAAAAATGGGACTACACTCTACGAAAATTTCCATATTATGAATGCAGATTTAATAGAACACACCTGCACACATACGTGGTCCAAAACCAAACGGAAGGAATGCGAATGGGTGGAAATCTTGTTGCCGGGAAACATCACGAAGCCACCTACTCGGTTGGAACGCGAGTGGATCGGTGAATAAGGTAGGTGATCTAAAATCAAGAGAGTTGGCAAAGAATAATTATCTGACAAGGGAAGGATACTTGGTCGCAGTGGCCATTCAAGATAAGATGTATACTGCCGTAGGTGGTTTCAAACGCTGATCTCAAATCTGTGTTTCAAATCTGCTAAACGATTCTGGGAACAAAGTTATGAGACCAGTCCCTCCCTGTGTTATACCACACTAACGAACGGTTCACTAAGCCGAGCAAAGACCCTAACTGTGAAACGGTGGCCTAGCGGATAGTCTGGTGGACTGATAGGAATGACATCAGGGTTCGACTCATTGGTGCGTGCGCTCGTTTTGCCTTTCGATAAAATGTGTCATAAACGCTTGCAAAACATTTTTTGNTTGGTCGCAGTGGCCATTCAAGATAAGATGTATACTGCCGTAGGTGGTTTCAAACGCTGATCTCAAATCTGTGTTTCAAATCTGCTAAACGATTCTGGGACAAAGTTATGAGACCAGTCCCTCCCTGTGTTATACCACACTAACGAACGGTTCACTAAGCCGAGCAAAGACCCTAACTGTGAAACGGTGGCCTAGCGGATAGTCTGGTGGACTGATAGGAATGACATCAGGGTTCGACTCATTGGTGCGTGCGCTCGTTTTGCCTTTCGATAAAATGTGTCATAAACGCTTGCAAAACATTTTTTGGGCTCAATATCGGACTCCTAGGGAGCTAACTCACATTTTAGGATTCCGGGGAATAATAAACCAGTAAAAATTTTTTTACTTCAACTGGCTATTACTTTACTATTTCGCCTCTCTACTCCGAACAGTCAAGATGGTGTTTCGAAATCTTCGGCGGCTCCGTGCACTTACGGTAGACGGCGGTCGAATGACTCATCCGACCACACCCTCTGGGAGGGATACGGTCCATACATTCTGTCTACTGGTACTGTCTGCGCTTTCGAAGCGATGGTAAAGGTTAACAGGCATCGTTGAAGAAATACTATAGTTAATCGATTTTTGTGCATTGTGATTATCCACTAATTCACGAGGTGAATGTCCTTTCAAGAAGCCCATCCATGTGGTAAACGTGTTGGTGCGGTGAGACATGATACCACGGCTGCACTCAAATCCTAGATTCGCCTACGACTCGCTTTGAATTGCCTCTGATGGGTGCTCATTGTTGATTGGGAGCGTCATCCAGTTCGTGCAATGAGAACCCCCCTACATTAATTTAATGATGAATGTTTTCAACTTATCCGCTAATCTCTGAAGGTAGACAGATCTGTCCACTTATTCGCACTGATAGTGTCGACCAGATAGGACATCACACTTTGTCGAAGATAGACTAATTTGAAAACTCATGGCCTCTCATACTTGCCCTAAATTTCCGTTCGGCACTCTTTACTAACCCCTATCCAAGATGGCGTCCACGTTATGCTGCAAGAACGAAAGCCCTCCATCAAATGCGATGGCACCACCTTCGGTAAGAATACTTCGCTGGTAACATGCTGAAGAGCGTTTGATACGATGAATCACTTGGAACCGTTCTCCTTGAAGCCCCTGGAGCCCATTTTGAGCGTTTGTTTAGAATTCCTCTTCGAGTAGAGCTCCAACCTTATTTGGACGGTGAGGTCAAAAAAAACTTTCCCTGTTATACCTTTCCAGTGTTCCTAAAATGAGAGTTAGCTCCCTAGGTGTCCGATATTGAGCCCAAAAACGTTTTGCAAGCGTTTATGACACATTTTATCGAAAAGCAAAACGAGCGCACGCATCAAGGAACCGAACGCTGACGTCATGCCTATCAGACCACCACACTATCCGCTAGGCCACCATCGCACAGGTAAGGGATTTGCTCGGCTCGGTGATCCGTTCATCGCAGTGGTATAACACAGGGAGGGACTGGTCCCATAACTTTGTTCCCAGAATCGTCTAGCAGATTTGAAACACAGATTCGAGATCAGCGTTTGAAACCACCTACGGCAGTATACATCTTATCTTGAATAGCCACCGCGACCGAGTATCCTTCCCTTGTGAGACCAGAGGGAGCTCCAGCTTCGAGAACATTCAACAGCCAACAATACTTGACTGCATATTGCAGTTGGAAAAAGATGTGGTGGTAGTAGTCGTCTCGACATTTGAATGAACCGGATGAGACGGTCAGATTACCCGCTCGAACCCTCTTTGAGACGACAGCTCATTCGGGAACATTCGACATTGTCCGTTCATCTCTGTCCCTTACAAAAACGTCAAGTAAGGGCAGGCTTCAAATCAGCTTAGCGTTAAGGTGCTGAACTACACATTGCTGAAACCACTGTCTATGGCAAACTCCCTGCCTGTCAGATTCCATAATTCCACACTACCAATGTTTGCCGTTGACAGACATGTGCGGACTGCAGTGCTTCTTTCTTCAATTATTCAGTTTACCCGGGTGACGGAACTTCTCCCCGATTGCGGCATTCTTCCTTGCGGAATGCGGCAAACGTCATTGCAACTACCGTACTCACCCGCCTCCCCGTCAATCGAAAGGATTGAATATTCTTCGTTGATTGCCTTTCCTTTTAAATGAACTTAATTGTTTTTTACCTGTTTCTTTTTGGTTTTTATGTTTATTAGACTTCATTAATTAGAATGACTCCTCCTATATTGGCGTTGATCAATATCGCATTGAAGTTGAAGAGAGGAGCCAGCCAATTCGAATAACTAAAGGGCTCCTTACCTCACAAATTGCGCGCTCCAATCTCGCAGCCCTGCGATACGTGGCGGGTGCGGCGTGCGCGATGCCGCTTTCGGGGAGAAGATCCCGGACCAGTTTACCCGGAGTTGGTGCCTACGAGAAGGAAAGAAAAAATCAACGAAAGATTGGCTCCGACCGGTCTGACAAGGTACATGCGTAGATAGATCACGTTTCTACATCGCTTTTAAAATCGTGTGTGCGGAAGCTCGGTAAAATCATATGTAGTGGAGGAGTGGGCCTATAGGTACAGAAAAAGGTTTGTTTCAGAGCACTTTATGCAATAGTGAGAAGCACGTAGACCGCTTCTGTGGCCCTAAGGAGCGCTTTACGCGATACTACATATTCGAGACTTTGTAACGACGAAACTTCAGACGAATCCGAAGTCACGGGTACTTCGCAAACAACGATACGCCACTTTCCGTACCTATAGAAGTAAAAGTGCGCTACCCCTAACTTACAGATATTTGTGATGATTTTCGCTTCAGGGCCTTGCCTTTTGATGGTCTCGGTTATTCAAGAATTTCCCGTTATAAACGCTTCTTACCTCATTAACACATTTGTATTGATATCGACTGGTGTGCCGGAAGGAATATGGTAATTGCTAAGAACGATATCCTTTTGAGGGATCCGAGATATCTCTGTACCAATCGGGAACAGCCGAAATGTCTCCTTGATACAGGCACGAAGTAATGGTAACTGAGAAAGTACGGCAGGAGTGATATCTAAACATACCAGTGTTAGACAATGACCAGTACTCGTTGAAAAATTACATATTCGAGGCCTTAAAGGCACGGTTCACGACAAAAAAAGTTACTGAGTTCTTCTTTTAGGAATACTCAGCGCCCCCCATGTGTGGTAGAAGGAACCCTCTCGCTCCCACAAACTCGGCGCTTAAGGCATAGTGGAAGCCCCGTTGCTGCCGTAGTTCGCTTTCCCGTTTCCCGATCGGTGTCACGTTAGAAGAGTGTCGAGACAATACAGATTGCTATTATTCGTTCTAGGACCCGCGCACAATCAGCTAAAACCCGAGTGATGAGGCGATGTTTTTTCCCATTCTTTTTTCCTCTGTTTTTCTTTTTGCTGCCGCGATCCCTTATTTAATTTCTTACTCCTAGAGGCTGAAAAGGTGAGCTTCTTTTGCTGTCACTAGGGTTTTTAAGCATATTTATGCTTATAAGTGAATGAATTTTTTCTTACCATTGTCTGTTTTTCGCACCAGGACCCACACGCGCGCAGTGAAACACACTGTTTAGCTCGTCCGGACGCCCCACTCTTCTTCATTTTTCTTGTTCCATTCTCGTCCAGCCCCCTTTTTAACGGTTTTTGGAAGCCTTTTTCACTTTGGAAACACCGATGCACGCAGTTTCTTCACCTCAGTCGCACTAGTTTCGATCTTGTCTTCCATTTTTCATCATAATCTGGATTACCCAAATTTATCGTGAACGGTGCCTTTAACCACGAAACCTTGTACGATATTTCATCCTGACTGAAAGTATGCGTATTCTCAAAGTCTCCTATGGCAGACTTAGGCCGTTCTAGGTGATTGATGCGGATGTGTAAGCAAGGGTATGAGTGTAACCTGTTGATTACTCCTACAGGCAAAAGTTTTTTTCTGTTTTGGAGAGGTCCTTGTGGTCGTGTCCTTCCATCCCTTGGTTGCAACTCTAGACGCCGCTCCTTCATTTTCAGCTTTACAGGGGCTGCTTGCATGACTATTCAGGTGTCCTCGTTTCTGACCGATCCAGCCGAGTCCAGCCGCAGGCTCATGTGAGCATCAGCATTCCAGTGTAGTAGTATTGTCGAGCATCACCTTTTTGCAGGTGACTTCATGGACAAGTTGGCACTACGAAAGGCGTTTACAGATGTCCTCGTATCTTCGTAGGTTTGGATATGGGTCGTGTAAGACCGATGTTGAGCGAATCCTTTGATACGCTACTTCGCATAGAGTAGCCATCATGACAACTGACCTTCGGATATGTTTACGGAAGAGGGTGCGCAACGGCAGTGAGACATCTGGAGGAAGAGCATGAATACAAACTCCTTGTAGGAGAAATCATAGAAAAGCGAAGGCAATGAGAAAGTTATAGAGGACCAACGGAAACTGTGTAAAGAGCTTTCGTTTATAGTGAACCAGATGGAGCTCGAAGAAGAAATGATTGTCAGTGCAGTTCTCAATAATCAGATACTATAGGAGTTTATGGAATTGTAGAGCACAAAGCGCCCCTGAGTTGTTCAAAAGCACAAAAAAGCAGAACTGAAAACTTGTTCGCGCATAAATTCCTGCAGTAAAAACCAGGGTTCAGTACTAGGGAGAATCACCGACGCAGAAATCACAATTAGAAAAGATCGTCAACAGGCCTGGAGAAAAGCCTAACATGATTTTATGTTCCTTTTCCTACTTTCCTACACTGTTAGAGATCAGATACTGCTTAAGCCCAGAGAACAGAGGCTGGAGGTCTGGCCACTGCAACTCATTGTACAAGCTACATATGCATTCAATACGCCACTGATTCTGATTGGAAGTCGAGTGCGTGGGCAAATCCTGCTGACGGGATTGATTAACGCCTAAAGACTTTACCCTTTATCCTTTAATTCTTGGATCAGCAATCGATAAGGACAATCTGGCTATGACTCGTGTAAGTGCGGCTTGGTCTAAATGGTGCTCGATGACTAGAACTCTCTGCGACAAGAAACCACCATATCGTCTTACATCAAGTATCTAAACGGTCGTTGTAAGAGCTGACTTATAATCGGAGAGTTATGCAGCTGGGGTCTTTTCTTCGAACTACATAATGCGGTGACGCAATAAGTGAATCTTTTGGAGTAACCTCTTCTTCGTGCGAAACCGCATTCGTTGGTACTACTATCATGCCCAATACCGGGGCAAAAACAGTGTCTGTAAGATTGGCCTCAGCATCGACGATTCCGGAAAACGGCTTAGTTACGACTAAAACAAAGTTTTCTCAATAGCCTGCATGTGGACTTGAGGTTGATTGACGACATTCATCCCGACCGTTTTTCGGGATGAATGACGTCAATCAACTTCACTTCACCAAAACAGGCACCAAAACAAAAAAGCCAAGATTCCGAGAGGGACAAATGATAGAGAAGAAAATGAAAGAAGGCACTATTTACCCTTTACCGCCCCACTTTGTTGAGAATGGGTTTCTAACGAATTTTTTCAAGAAGATGAAACCGACTAGAAAGTTGCCTAGAGGGGCAATTCGACCCGTAGAACACGAATATAGCATATACTCGTCATAAAGATGCCTAGCCACTATAGCTCCGGCTTCAAACTGGTCACCAATCTTGCTGAAAACTTGCCCCTAAGAAGTATGCTAGGCATTTTCATGACGAATGGATGCGATCTTCGTATTCTACGGGTCAAAATACCCCTCTAGGCAAATTTCTAGTCGGTTTCATCTTCTTGAAAAAAAATTCGATCAAAATCCTATCTATTCTCGACAAAGTGGGGCAGTAAAGGGTAGATAGTGCCTGAAAGATTTTCGTTCGACTTGGAAACCTCAATTCGATATTCTCAAGAAAGGTGTAACTCTCACTGACCAACCTTCATTTCGTTGGACAGCTGCGTTCACTTCGTCGCGAAGCTCGGCTTGGACATCCGGATGGGTGGCGATGTTGAACAGGTTGTAGACAAGCATAGGGGCTGTCTGAATTTAACACATAGAAATGACATGGGGTACATGAAGAATTAATCTAATGAATTCAGACTTTTTCAAAAAATTTTGATGTGGTTGTCACGGCATGTAAGCTTTAAATATTAAATTTCTGACTACCATGAGTTCAAAATCACTCAATGGCATCTTGTGCGAAGTTTTGCTTATTATTCATAGCATAGTAAGTGATATTAAAAGTGTTTCTTTTTTTCCCTCTCCCAATATGAACAACTGTTCGTCCTACCGTACTCAGTCCGTCAGAGAACATCGACAATAGAATGATCTTCACGTCGTTCACATTGAGTTCTTTACGATTGATCAACAAACTGGCGAACTTCATCTCATTCTCTAACTCCGATGACCCACGCAGTTTATCGATTGCTTGATCGATCAATAAGTTGGCTTCTCTGAAAACCTAACAGTTCGGAAAGCTTCATTCGGTTTTTCTGGTGAAACAAGGCACAAACCTATAGAATCGGTCCTCAAGTTCGACCATCTTCTTCCATTTCGGGGTGGGAAAGTATTGGTAGAGAGGAAAAGCGAATTTGAGCCTGTAATCAATCGAAGTGGTATATATTCATTCCTGATGATGAGTTCCGATCAGATAGAAGTTGCTGATCCATACACGGCAGATAGGCGAAATATGGCTTTATTCAAATTGACCAATCCATCAGCCCATTCAATGCGATCAGTAAGGGCACCAATTCGCTTCTCGAATACTGTCAGAGCAGACGATTCCAGTGCCCACCTAAAGAGCGCCTCATTTCCCTTGGGTATCTATATATTTCTCGATCATCAAAGCACATCAATAATACCTGCCAGCAATTTTGGACACATCAACTTCGCCACTGGTGCTGGTCTCACTCTCTCTTCGAACGTGATCCACCAATGCCTGAGCCACCTCGTTTGTGTACGGTAGGTACCTTCAACGTAGTCTTGATGCAAAATCAAAAGAATCACCGATCATTAAGGAGAAATTTGTGATTAAATCTAATATTACTTCGATGTGAACTCACTTTTGCACCGCTTGAGGTCTCATCATTACCTGTTGAACCGACGACCGGAGTCTGTACCATTCATCGCCATTTCTAAAATCTTGAGAGTTCAAGAGTGAAAGGATCAAGGCTCTACCGTTCATAGGCCCCGGTGTACCCATTTGACACCGAATATGTTACCAATCATCCACCTTCACCAAAAAATCAGCCTCGAATGGATAAAAGGTAAATTCTCGAGGCATTAATCAATCCTGTCTGAAGGATGCGCCCACGCATTTCACTTCCATTCAAAATCGTAGTGACGTATTGAATGCGTATGTGGCCTATACAATGATTTGCGTTGGCCAGCCGATGTACAAGTCAGTGTTTTATCCTCCCACACAAGTCTGGTACTAATTCAACGACCCCGGCGGGATGGGAGGCTTGGTTCGCATAGGCGGACATCAATGCGCGATTCAACTCCGTTACCGCGCGTGTGCTATGGTGCGCAACTTGCCTCTACAACACCTCCGGCCACCTCTGCTATAGCCATAAAAAGGCTCAAGGATAAGGTTTCTGAGCGCTGGCCAATCCTTTCGTAGCATGTGACGCCGAATACGACTTCCATCCGGAAAAGTAGCGTTTCGAATGATGCCTAAACCATAACCTGCGGGAGCAATCCAATGTGGAAGACTGTGCTTTCTTACCACATGCGATTGGCACCAACTAGCCGACTAGTCGACCATTATCAACCTGTGCCTGGTCAGGTGTCAGTCCGAGTTCCGATCCCCGGATCATGTGGGTAATAGTAAGCCCCTTGGTACTTCATAACTTCAGAAATTAAGCACACTTGAAAACATTGAAATCAAAGAGCAACGTGTGCGTCCCGTTGCGAACATTGCAATCTCTACAGCTTCTACAATATAGTAAGAACTCGTTTGCCTCTGGGCCATTACGTCGGCTAAGCCGGTTTTGAGGCCCTTAAAGCGCCCTATCTAGGCCGTTTTTCGCATATTTATTTTAGGGAGGAATCTTAAAGGCACAGTTCACGATAATTTCGAGGTGCCCTTTTCAGGTTGGAAAGCGGAAGTTTTGGTGTAAAAGAGTACGTTGGTGGAGAAAGGAGCGAGAACATCCGCTCACTTCAAGCTTTTTAAAAGTAGTGGAAGTGGAGGTTGTACGAGATCACCGCGACAGGAATAGCATGTAAGGGGTTTTGGACGATATTTAACTCGCTCCCATCGTGCAAAGAGCTGACCATAATTGTCCAGAATTGCCTCTCTCTGTCGCTATGAGTCAGGACAAGTTGTTTGAACTTCCTACATTGGTTCCCTTATGAATGGAGAAGCCGTTGAAACTCGCCCACCAGGGGTGTGGCATTCGCACAATACAATCTCTACTTATTGTGCCCTATTCGGGACGTTTTTTCGCCTGTATAAGGAAAGGTATGGTATAATGGGGAGCCTGGAATCCACACTATAGAGAAATCTCAGAAACCATTCTCATCATTAATTGTGCCTTTAAAAACCACTTCGTTTGTGAACTTGCCTTAAAGGCACAGCTCACGAAAAAGTGGTTTCGGAGATTTGCACATGGTTTGAATTCGAAGCCCCCTCTGATACCATTTGTGCAGGAATTAGGTCGGAATACAGTCTGGATAGGCACAATAAGGGCAGGAACAGTGGGGGACGAGAGGCCTCCGCCCCTCGCTAGGTTGACTACGAGTTCAAATTGTCCTTCACCACTTTCGCATTGGAGCAACATTAGTGAAAAATCGATAGGCTGGTTGGCAAATTGCCCACAGACGGACANTTTGTGAACTTGCCTTAAAGGCACAGCTCACGAAAAAGTGGTTTCGGAGATTTGCACATGGTTTGAATTCGAAGCCCCCTCTGATACCATTTGTGCAGGAATTAGGTCGGAATACAGTCTGGATAGGCACAATAAGGGCAGGAACAGTGGGGGACGAGAGGCCTCCGCCCCTCGCTAGGTTGACTACGAGTTCAAATTGTCCTTCACCACTTTCGCATTGGAGCAACATTAGTGAAAAATCGATAGGCTGGTTGGCAAATTGCCCACAGACGGACAGCTGCTCGACCGCTTCGTATTGGGACTACTATTACGCTGTTTTTCTAGTATTCGACTATATTCTACGCTTTTCTATTCTAATTAATTTTCCTCAGCCGTCGCTAAAAGGTCGAAATTGATTTTGCATAGTAAATCAGATTAATAGCGGTAGGAGAATTGGTTTTGATGAATAAGCCAAAATCAGCTGTTGGTGTGTCGTGTGCAATGGCAGACACTGCGTCGCGTTTGTCTGACTCGCCCGAAAAATTCTTATCGCCGTTTTTTCGCCATTTAGCTCGTCCAACCCCCCTTTTCCCTTGTTTTTTGTGGCTCTTTATTTCTATATATTCATCTTTTTTCGCGTTTTCTCTTTTACCATTGTACTATTGTAAGCCGTATCTAGCATTTTTTGTCAAATTTCGCCAAAAAACCGCATACCCCAAAATTGACGTGAACTGTGCCTTTAAGCGGGAGCAATTTACGTGAACCCGAGCAAGCTCTTCGAAGAAGCATTCACATCGTATATTACACTATATTAAGTGCATCGATTCTACAGCATTCTGACATGCTTCTGATCGACAATCATCTACAGCTCAGTAGGAAACTACTTCACCTCCAATTCCTCTATTTTCTACTTGAATCTGAACTCGACAAGCTCGTTGCTACGTCTGATCTGCTTCTTCTGCCACTGACGCTGACAGTATGCTCATCCTTACATTTTTCAGAGTCACACAAGGGATGAAGTGAACGCGATGTTCAAGCTACGCTAACGAGCAAAGATAAGGGACACAGCAGCACAAGCCAAGTAGTCGAACATAAGGGCAAGCAATGCGCCATAAGTTGTGGTGACCATTGGAAGGGTTGGTCGAATACAGGGTCCTCAAACAAATGCAAAGTTGGAACTAACCTACAGTTGGTTTTTTTCAGGGTAACTTTGAACGAACGGAATGATATGCTTGGTGTTCCTCCGGAGAAGAGGAACCATTTGCTTGCGACAAAGATTAATTTCACCGTTAGTGCTACTGCTCGCTCCAGTGAATCGATGACGACAAGGGCAATACAAACAGCGATCAATCGGTTTCAAAAGTGAGAAAGGTTTTGGCATCATAAGATTGCTTAGTTCCATACAAAGTTCCGATGACGACCCTATGTACTTTTGTTTCAATCCTGTTCTTTATCCTTTGAGCTACCAGCTTGTTACGGAATCGTTTTACCAATAAACTATCAGTTTTTATGAGCTTAACAATGAGAGCTGGGGCGGGAAGGAGCAGCGAAAAATGCGGGTAAGGGAAAATATTAAGCCATGTACGTAACTTCTCAATTCATATTGGTAGCTTAAAAAATGCTTTCCAAGAAGAGGGAAACGGCGTGACAGTTACTCCTACAATTAGTTCGCACTTAATAGTTTTGCAGAGATCAAGAGCAGCTTACCAGAGGCTGATTTTTCAAAATGAACAACCAATAAAAAAAACAGTTACAGGTTTCCGAGTCCTGGGTTCATTCCTTTCAACTGGCGATATCGTTGTGTTGTTTCCTGTAGAGGCACAATAAACGGTTGGCGGCCATCCGAAGCAAAAACCCGTCGAGCATCTTCTGTAAATGAGGACAGATCTGCCGTGTTTCGAAACAGGATTTATTAAGAATTGTCTACAATATTACTTTATTCTTTTTAGGTTGTACTGGTTACTGGATCTACTTTTAGGTACTTTTGGAGAATTCTTCTGCTTATCTTACTATTCCAGATCTCATCATCAGATTGAGCCCGCTATTCCGCGATATTTTTGCAAAATTCAAGCCCTTCAGAAACAATCAGCATTCCTTCGGCCTTTGAAATTCGCATTCTCTTTTTCTAGATTCTAGTGTATCTGAACTGCCAAAGTGTTCTCTCAGATAAAGTTGATTTCAGCAGCAACATAATATCAGCCGAAAAGTTCGGTTGAAATGTTCCTTCACCTCATTTCATTTTCGTTCCATTCAGGTCATAGGCCTTCCTTCCATCGGGCCAAAGAGAAGCACAGAATCGTCGATTTCATGGGAATTTCGCAGCTTCTAGTCATTTCCATTACAGATGACTACGAACTAATGTCAATTTTCGCACAGCCATGGAGGCTCATTACACTTAGAAGCACGGTTAATGATAAAAAAGGTTACTGAGTTCTTCCTTTAGGAACACTCAGCGCCCCCCATAGGTGGTAGAAAGGACCCTCTCGCTCCCACAATCTCGGCGCTTAAGGCATAGTGGAAGCCCCGTTGCTGCCGTAATTCGCTTTCCCGCCCCTCGATCGGTGTCACGTTAGACGAGTGTCGAGACAATATAGATTGATATTATTCGTTCTAGGACCCACGCACAATCAGCTAATCGCCGAGTGATGAGGCGATGTTTTTCTACCATTATTCTTTCCTCTGTTTTTCTCTTTGCTGCCGCGATCCCTTATTCAATTTCCTGCTCCTAGAGGCTGAAAAAGGTGAGCTACTTTTGCTGTTACTAGGGTTTTTTTTGTTTATTAATGCTTATTAGTGAATGAATTTTTGCTTACCATTGTCTGTTATTCGCACCAGGACCCACATGCGCGCAGTGAAACACNCGTTGCTGCCGTAATTCGCTTTCCCGCCCCTCGATCGGTGTCACGTTAGACGAGTGTCGAGACAATATAGATTGATATTATTCGTTCTAGGACCCACGCACAATCAGCTAATCGCCGAGTGATGAGGCGATGTTTTCCTACCATTATTCTTTTCTCTGTTTTTCTCTTTGCTGCCGCGATCCCTTATTCAATTTCCTGCTCCTAGAGGCTGAAAAAGGTGAGCTACTTTTGCTGTTACTAGGGTTTTTTTTGTTTATTAATGCTTATTAGTGAATGAATTTTTGCTTACCATTGTCTGTTATTCGCACCAGGACCCACATGCGCGCAGTGAAACACACTGTTTAGCTCGTTCGTACGCCCCACTCTTTTTCATTTTCTGGTTTCATTCTCGTCCAGCCCCCTTTTTAGCGGTTTTTCGAAGTCTTTTTTCACTTTGGAAACACCGATGCACGCAGTTTCTTCACCTCAGTCGCACTAGTTTCGACCTCGTCTTCCATTTTTCACCATAATCTGGATTACCCAAAATTATCGTGAACTGTGCCTTTAAATTGGCGATAGAGTGCAAACAAGTTGTGTCCAAGTGTAGACAGCGAAAAGCTACAGCCATTCGAGCTCAACCCTTCACGATAGTGTCACACAGAATTCCTTAGCATCCTTCGAGTTCACACACCGACAACTAATCAGACACATTTTTAGTCATTTTGCCTAAAAATAGCTGTACTGTGCCGTTGAAACAAGCTGAATTGCAGTGGAGCCACTGGCCCTGAACGAAAAAATAGCCCATCTATCGATTACAAGTTTTCCCTGTTGTGTTGTGCTCGATATCGACTAACTCGGTGTCATGTCTGCAACAAAATTGCTTTAGAACCCTGACTACAGCACGGAACAGTTTGGCGATTTTATAAAGAGGACCCACTCAAGCCTGAAGGTATGCCCTGCAAGTCATCTACTTGGGAAATAAGCTTTTCCAGTCTTTCATAATATCTTGCAGAGTGTGATGAGGCTTGAACCAACCGGTAAATGAAGAATCAGTGCAAAATTCGGCTTTTCGAGTGAAATCAAAATTCCCCGAGACGGGTACTGTGATTGCGGTAAATGAATAAAGCAAGTACTCCACATCATGATGAAGAGGTCGAAAAAAATGTTCTAGCATGCAAGTGATTTTCGAAGAGACTTTTCATACTGATTTGCCCATAGATTCATATCAGAAAATGACTACAGAAGACCTCCGATACGCTGCACTTGTCCGGAAGCAAAAGAGATTCCAGCAGTGTCCAAAACAGGTCCAAAACATGCGTATAGGACCCGTTATTTTTCGCACTGATTGAAGAGACCGTGGAAAAGAAGATTTAGACCTTGTGCGCTTAGCTCTTCTTGGCTCCGAAGAACGTTTCAATTCCCTCCCCCCCCCCCCCCCCCCCCCCCCCCCNCCCCCCTCCTTCCCCAAAGTTAAACGCTTCTTTTTCTTTCTGTTTGAACGTTCCGTCGAAAAATCCAACGTTCTGGCATCATGTGGTTTTCATCCCGAAACCATTCCTCCTCTAGACCACAACCTTTAGGATTACTTATTTTAATTGGTACGGGAACTTCGGTATTTTTTTTACCATTTTTTAAATGTAGAAACCTATCTTAGTGTACCAATCCACTGTTTGAGCCTAGGATTACATCAAAATCGGAAACATCAGGAAAAAGAAAAGATAAGTGGCCATAAACCAATTAAAATCTGCGGACGATATGGAGCACGATTTCGGAGTACGATAGAGCTCCAAGATTCAGTTCTAGATACAAATATGTTGCCAGTATGTGCCCATAACTTTTTTACCTCCCCTCTGAGGGAAGTAGTAAGGCTTTCAGGCTTTCATTCTGAACCCTATAAAAATTTCATTTTATTCCCTTTCTTCATTTCTTTACTGCAATGACTATCTATGAATTCTGTTTAGATCGAACCCACTTGACATAGCTGCTTGAATGAAATAAAGGGCACTTGCATTTAACATGGGGAAAAAGGAAGCAAATATCCCGTACAAAAATGGTAGGAACGGTAATTGAAAACAGAAAAACAAAAAAACACTAACAGAGAGAAAATAAATAGCTGAATAAGAGGCACTGCTGTAGCACGAACCTGGATCAAAAACGTGCACGACGGCACCTCGACCAAACCCCTGTTCTACCTTGACGATTGGTCCGTATCGTTTATGTAAATCGACGAGCCATTGGAAATAGTTTGCTATTGACCGCTTGCCTGAATTTTTGTAATCATAGCCTCGGGTATTTCTTGCATGTTTGATGTCAAAAAACTTACTTCTAAATACTGTTCGGTCTCTACCAAAATGGCGCTCAAAAAGGTTTGGACCTGGGATTTCTTCGAAAGGGCGTGCCTCACTTTCCTGTTCTGCAATCGCTGCGGAAGCACTGATCGGACAATTGAGTACCGATTTTGCATTTGAAGCGGCCACAGCTACACTTCGCTTCATATTCTACTTGAAAAGTACTTTGACTTGGTCAAAGTTAGCATAACACGAAGGAAAAAGGTTCCGTTCAGTGAAGGCTGGGCGTTTGCCAAACAAAACTTCTCAATCTCATTTAGTGGTAACTTAAAATTCATGCCCTACTCAATTCAATCATAGATCACATGCTTCGTTAAGAAATTCACTAAATTATAATTCTCGATGAAAATGGAAAATGTCTTTGGCGGGTGAAAGGGGGTGTAGAAGGAAGGGGGAAGGACACCGCTCTTCTCCAAAACTGAACGCTATATCTCAGAGAAAAAGGGGTATGAGGGCTGATCTTATTAATCCTCAAAGGGAGTTTTCAGCCAAAAGAATATAGTTTCTACCTTACACTTGAAAGGGGAGGAGCACTGGATGGATGAAATGACTTCTTGTGTAGCAGGGATTGAACATTTGATTGAATCACGCACCCCTGTCCTCCCTCTCTCCTTGGTTCAAATCAAAAAGATTATGTTCGTTTAAAAACCACTACGACAAGTTCCTCAGCACTATTATGAGCTCTCAGAGCCGGCTACCCTCCATCGCTGCGAAGGCAATCAGTGTTAGAAAAGAGCGGTGCCTCATCCCCTACCCAACCACATTTTCACCTAATCCCCTTTAAGTTTTACACTCGAATGTGCCGGGAGGATTTAAATCCAGCATGTTTTTGTGTTTAAACAATAGAACTGTTTTGAATGGAATCAATCCAATTCCGCTCATTTCATTTATTGGTCCGTCCTTGTGGAGGATGGACCAATAAGTGAAATGAGCGGAATTGGAAAAAAGGATAAAGTTTGAAGGGTGAATGGGAGCAATCAAAGGCTCATCTGTCAGGTGACAACCGACCTTTCATTCGTTAGAGGTCGTCATTTGACCCAAATTCAATCATCGTAATACCCGGAATATCAGGGCAACTTTGGTCTTACTCATTGTTGATTTGCCATTACCTACTTGAAACAAATTAGACGAAAAATATTATAAATCAGCTCCATGATATTTATAAGGGATCATTTGGAAAACGATGTATTATGTATCACAGAATAACTATTGTACGAGGCAAGGCTATAGTGAACTTCATAAAAAAAATTGTAAAGGTTGTAAATATAACAGCCAACAACTCCAGAATATCCATTATAAAATTTAGACTTGGAATATAGCATGTGATATATAGCAAACACAGAACAGTTGTTAGCCAAGGTAACGGAACAGTAATCAGGCGGTGAGCGTATTGATAGCGCACATTGAGTGGAGGCGATAAATCAATCGGACCACTCAGATCGATGAGCGATACCTCCCGAGGGAAAATTTGAGACGACTCATCTTTGAAGCAAGCGACCATGATAGTGCTCGTAAAACCCTAAACCTAATGGGTGATGTATTTATTTAAATGAGAGTTAGAGTTTAGGATGAAAGCCCATAGATTTAGAGAACAGGGACAACTTTTAATCAACAGAAATTTGTAGGAGAGTGAAGCTTTCCAAGTTATTCAAAGCCTGTAATGCAAGTCACATTTGGGAGCCTTTTGAAAGCTTGATCGGCAAGAGTGCACGATTCATGACTAAATTCGTTATTCTACCATTCACACTAAGATTGTTCAAAATATCCTGAGATCGTGAAAGGATGAGTTTCGCGGACTGGCTTGCTGTGATTCTAGAAGTCACTTGAAACTCTTGTTCCTTTCATGTTGTGACGACGATAGGGAGAGTTCTGTGAAGTAAACCATTCCACAGGGAAGCGATTCTCCAAATTTATCTGTTTTTACTTACTTATTGGGGATAGACAAAGTCTAATTGAATGCTTTAAACATACATAATAGCAAAGAACAATCAAAACATTGAAAAGTGTCAGATAACTTGTGCTAACGCACACAGAAGAAAAAAGAGAAGAAAAAAATGAAGCTGTCAATGTCAAAAAACAGCAGACCCGTTGTGAAGAAAAAGGAGAAATAGAGTAACCCACAGAAGGAATGAGTTGGGAGGAAATACTTAAAATATTATATAAACGAGCGAACGAGCTATACTAAGCTAGGAGACCAATCGCTTGAACTGA